AAAAATAATTGGTAGGATGCCCTTCCTGCTCATCAGTCTTTGGTCAGATGTAAAAACTCTACTGTAAAATAGCAGAATAGAAGGAACAGGCTGGAATGGTGGGGGAAAGAAGGCTGATTTCCATGCGTCTCGGTGCTGTCAGATTGAATTAGCTCAGGTGTAATTAGAGTGCTGGAGAGCATCCTGCTTTGGCTGCGGTGTGCGACGGGGCAGCATGGCTCTACACTGAAGCCAGCTGATACCAAGCCGGGCCGCTATCACCATGCAAACACACGCCTCCAACATCGCAGGCGAGCGGCAAATCCAAGCATGAAATTAGCAGTCACTCAGATCATGCCCGCATACTTGCATATTTCACTTCGTGTGTTTTCTGCTTTGTGTGTGTTGAGGGTTTGAGCGGCTAGCTGGAGTTGAAGTGCAGTGTGTTCTGCTGGAAGGAGGTTAGACACTGTTTGCAAACGACATCTGTGCTTACTTAGTGACCTTTTTGTCAACATGGAAAGTCAAGTCAACATGAAAATGGACCTTATTTACTGTCTTCATTTTTCTTCACAGTCACATTTTTTGTACAATTTATCAGTGCATGTTATTTAAAAAATCTCCTTTTAAACTTTAATCAAATGTAATAACTTAATTTTCCTCCAGACTGCCCACCTTTTTCGCTGATGTCATCAAGCCCTCTTTTTTCAGCTCCTCTTTTTGAAGCCTATTTTGACCATCCAATTCATTCTTAAAGGAGGAAATTAAAAAAGTCCTGCTCAACATGATTATTTGTTGACTATCCTGTTTGAATCATTGCCAGATAAAATTAATTAGCAAACACAATCTCTCAATTTAGAAATAGATTGTCACTGATTTGATAAAAATCAAATCATGAGAGTGTGGAAGATGAAGATTTGAAACATTTTATAATTACCCATAGGAGGAAAAAAAATCATGTCATAATATCTTTAGTTTCTGTTATTATCTATAAATCTGTATACATTGAAAAAGAAAAGTGTAGAAACAATTTTCACACAGAAATTACTAGTACATATCACAATGATAAAGAAAAAGCAAGTAACACATTGAATTAAACAAGACATTCTGAAGTAGAAAAACTGAGATTGTCTTGTAAAACTCTTTGATAATTTGTTTCAATTCATGAAAAGTTACTGTAATTTATAAGCAAGGTCACTGAAACTACCCATGATGCAATGCATATTACAGTTAAGTTACTGGTGATTTTACAGTTCAGTAAGGGTTAACAGTGCAGTATCTAGCGTTTATCCTAGAGCTCTGCTAAAGATTTGCCGAGATACTAAAGTCAGCAATCAAAAGATTTCCATATGAACTCAAACATTTCATTTATCTGAAGTTGTTCCAAGATTAAATAATCTGAGCTGCCATCTACAATCATTTGTGCTAGGAATGAAATGTGTTTATACCTAAATTTATACTCAAGCGAGAGCTCCATCAAGTCTGCTGAGCCGTGGAGGAGTAACATTGTCATCTGCTGTAGTCTGGACATTTTTGTTTTTGCTACAAGATCAAAATGTGGTAAAACTCTGACCTTGTTCAGCACATCTCCTCTCAATGCGTCTGTGTCTCCATTGCTTTCATGCACACAGTCACTGCTGCCCTCCTACAAAGGGGCCATTCATAAAGCTAATGAAAAGAAAGAGTTTACTCACCCAGATCACACCATCACGGCACTAACACACACACACACACACACACACACACACACACACACACAGGTTTGTTTTTGTGAAAAGTGGGGGCATCCCATAGGCGTAATGCTTTTTGTACTGTACAGACCGTATATTCTATTGGTTTATCCTAGAGCTCTGCTAAAGATTTGCCGAGATACTAAAGTCAGCAATCAAAAGATTTCCATATGAACTCAAACATTTCATTTATCTGAAGTTGTTCCAAGATTAAATAATCTGAGCTGCCATCTACAATCATTTGTGCTAGGAATGAAATGTGTTTATACCTAAATTTATACTCAAGCGAGAGCTCCATCAAGTCTGCTGAGCCGTGGAGGAGTAACATTGTCATCTGCTGTAGTCTGGACATTTTTGTTTTTGCTACAAGATCAAAATGTGGTAAAACTCTGACCTTGTTCAGCACATCTCCTCTCAATGCGTCTGTGTCTCCATTGCTTTCATGCACACAGTCACTGCTGCCCTCCTACAAAGGGGCCATTCATAAAGCTAATGAAAAGAAAGAGTTTACTCACCCAGATCACACCATCACGGCACTAACACACACACACACACACACACACACACACACACACACACAGGTTTGTTTTTGTGAAAAGTGGGGGCATCCCATAGGCGTAATGCTTTTTGTACTGTACAGACCGTATATTCTATTGGCCTACACCAACCCTACCCCTAAACCTACTCTTTACAGGAGACTTTCTGCTATTTCAGATTTTCAATACACTCCATTCTGTGTGATTTATAAGCGTTTTGAAAAGTGGGGACATGGGGTAATGTCCTGAAAAGTCACTTTCTCCTTGTAATACTATGTCATACCCTTGTCATTATACAAACGTATGTCCTCATTTGTCACAAAAACGCGCGCGCGCACACACACACACACACACACACACACTTAGCATAAAAACAACACATATTTTATTCAATAATTGATTTTCTGCCTGAGAACATCTCCATAGAGAGGTTTTGTCAGATTTGGTTCACTTTTGGAGACTTTAGGTTCTGCACATATAGACTCTCACCGAATGTACAGCCATCCTTACAGTTTTCAGCCCTGTAAACATAAAAAGTGGAAGCTAGAATATTTTTAATATCAAAGGTGAAACACATCTGTTTAATTTCGTTCAGGTGGGTGCTATTCCTCCATGCCCCCTGATTGAAGAAAAAACATTAATATGCAAATATCAAAGTACATGTACAGCTGGAAGGGAAAAGGACTCTCTTGATAGAATGTAGCCAATGTCTTTTTTTTTTGACAGAGGAAAGAAATTAATCAAATAGAGAAAAATGAACTTTGTGATTGCACGGGTGTACCACCCAAAGGCATGGCAAGCAAATGAAAAATCAACATTGTACCCACTGATAAGGCAAATTAATAAGAAAGTGTGCTATGTCTACCTTCAATGTTGCTGCTTGCGTGAACAAGTTATCTCGGAGCAGACGTAACCTTAGGCTTTGGATCTGTTCCTGTGTTGGCTTTGCTCGAACACTTTGCAGTTGCGTTCATTTATAGTTATGGAAGGTACAGAAACATTACAAAACAGATATACTGTCGTAGTTTGCGAGGTGCATGGCGGTATATGACTTTTACAACATCCTGCATATGTTTGATGGACAAGATGCTACATGGCTTTTTGAAGAGAGATGTGCTTTTACTTTTCTAAACATCAGATTTACTTTCATTTGTGCCAGTAAGCATCCACCCGACACACTCTTGCACGTTTTCTAACATTTATATCTTTCAAAAATCTATACAATATTGTATATAGCTACCCGATTATCTGCCTCATCATCAATGCTCTTGTAAAAAAGAAGTGCGCACTTAACTGTATTGAATGTGCACTTGTAGTGTACTTCAAATCTTGTATGCCTATTTTTAAAAACTCTACTTGCAGATAATATAACATTAATGAATTAAAAAGCCACTTAAGTGCACTTTCATAAATGATTTTAACACACTTTAAAAAGTAATATCAACGTTTTATTTTATTAAAGTACATTTTAAATCATTATGTTTTTAATGAAGGACACTTATTTTGATGTGTTGACTAGCATACTAAAGCACATGTAAAGTACTTGATTATATTTTTAACTGTAGCATGTGTTATTCATTATTACACTTAAAGTTAATATATTTTAAATGTACTAAATTGCAATGCGCAAATGTGTAATTACAAACATATTTAAATACGTGACGTAAAAGTTTCAATAGAAATAAGATTAAAGTACATTTTAGTTGACCATAAATGCTTGTCAGTACATTCAGTAGTAACTTTAACCACATTTCAAAGACAATAGAAGTAATTATGAAATGTCCTACTTAAGTGGGTCAGAAAGCACTCAACGTTTTGCATTTAATGTAAATTTAAACTATTCATACACTGTAAAAGATGATTGTGATTTTAACAGTAAAAGACTGTAAAAATGCTACAGTAAAAACCTGTTAACTGGTTAACAGTAAGTTTCCATACTATATTCGGTAAATAAATGTAATTACATTTAATGTAATTTTACAGTAAAATACTGTTAAAAATATGGTTTTTGGAAGTGAAAAAGAAGTCATTGTATAATTTACAGTGACAAACTGTAAATTGACACTCCCAGAATTCCCTGCATGACGCTTCATATTTCATGTTTTTTGTTGTTGAAATAACATGTTTTTTCTTAGTTTTTTTCTTATCAGTTGTGTACATTAATGTTTAATGATGTTTAATCTTACATCTAATGTTGTTAAATGAATGTTTATTGCATTATTTCAGTATCGTGTGTGTCACCATGATGGGGTTTAATGTTTGTGTGAATGACACTGTGTGTACCTTCTATATATTAGTATTGCCCTCCTCAGCTCGTAGAAAAGCTGTTTGTGATGAGCTTTGGTTCATCATGTAACTTCCTCATCACAGTTTTTGGTGGTTATCAGTGCATTACAATGGTTCAAAACAGATATTAGTACTTCAATATTTTGGTTTATTAACATTACATCAGTTAATGAAATACGGTATTTTATTGTGAATTTAAGTTAAGTCTGTAAAACCTAAAATGTTGCTACCATATCAAGTTCTGGCAACCACAGCTGCCGGTATTTTACCGTAAATGTCACTTTTTTTTTTACAGTGTACATTTTATGCAATGAAGTGTTCAAAACCAATACATTTAAGTATATTATTTCCATACAGTACTCTTTTTAAAAGTGTCCTTCTTTTTCACAAGAATGAAGACAAAGGTGAATTCACTTTCGTTTCTTCTGAAGTGCTAATGCTGTGCACTTGTTTCTCTGTTATTTGACAGGGGTGTTTGACAATGGGCTTGAGACGGACTCTGAGGAGACAGAGAAGAAAGAGATCTTGAAAGAAGAAGAAGACGGGTCTGTGGAGGACGACCTGCTTTACTACTCTGACCCAGAGAACATCGTCTCTAAAGATGGAGATCACTCGAGGAATGGTGAGCTCAAAGATAACCTGAGAAAACATGTATCTGGCTGAAACTCAAATGGAAATCACGGTAACTTTAGATTAGGAAACACATTTTCACTATACTATTAACTCAGAGTTTTGCCTCAATGAACTCCTAATTTGCTGCTTTTTGTAAGGTAGTTGTTGTAGTAGTAAGCTTAGATATGGTGTCGGGTTAAGAGATCTAGATTAATATGTGCTTTATAAGTACTAATAAACAAGCGATATGCTAATAATATGCATGTTAATAACAACCTGGTGTCATAAAAATATGTACCTCTGTGTACATTTTGTGCAACACCATTTTTACGTACCTTACCGCACATTTCGCCGCAGTTTCAAAGAGAAATGTCCACTGAGTGGCGCTAAAACACGGGATCAATACGTGAACCCTGGTACGTTTTTATAACGTTGATATAGGTACGTATTGCTATGTTTTTATTATGTTGCTTCTGGTACATATTGCGGCATTACGAATTCAAATATCCGCGTACTGTCACTAAAAGTTATTGCTCTATCGTGTAGGAAATATGCCCTACACCAAACCCAACCCTAAACCTACCCGCTAGTGTTAACAAAAGCAAAACTGATATAAAAACGCATTTGTTGATGCAACCGTGCCATTTGAACTTTCTTATATGCAGATTTGAACTGTTTTGTCGAACCGTAGTTACACGGGATTCGGAGATCCTCGCCTCTCAAGTACGTCTCCGTACTCCATGAGCTACCAAACAAACCTACCTGTGACGAGAGGGGCGGGGCCGAGAGCCATGGGAACGGAGCGAGGCCGGTGGAGTAATTGATAATGAGCGACACCTGCGCCACTCATCGGTCTCGAGTCCCACGGAGGAGCTCCGGAAGGATAAAAGGAGGAGTGACGACGGTGTTGGAGGAGAGAGGACCAGGCCCCTCTCGTCACACTACCGTCTATGAAAACCCATAGATATAAAGCTGGATATGTGCGGTGCTAACGTTCAAAAGCATCAGTTTTCAAATCTCACAGCATATTAATATTGTTTTGAAGTCATTACATGCTATTCTTCAAGTAATTGTGCGAAAATTGCTCTTTATTAATCAAAACTCTGTAAATTTGTGTGAAAAGGAATAAAAGGTGTCAGAGTTTTACTGCCTCTAGTGTTCATTTCTTTTGGAAACTGTAGTGATATGTACTTATTGGTACGTATTTCGCGTCTCACTAAAAAGTGCCCCCAGGTACATTTATGCCATGAGACCAGGGGCCAGTTGCATACACTTAGCCTCTATGTTAAGACCGTGTCTTAAGAGCCAGTTTGACCAACTAGCAGTTAACCTAGGGGTAATCAGTCTTATATTTTGGATTCAGCTTAGACTAATCTACGTTTTTATGTAACCGAATTTTACAAATTTTGACCAGTCTTAAAGAACAAAATTAGATGGCTAACTTTTTAAGACTAGTCTAAACCTTTTCTGCAACCGGCCCCAGTTAGGTTAATAAAAAACTAGTTAAGAGTGAATCGGGTTCCCTAATCTAAAGTGATACCGAAATCACAATACACATAAAATTCCTCATTTTTAATCACATGTATGGGCTTGTTTTAGTACACAAACAAACACTTCTGTTCTGTAATCCTATAGTGGGACGTATATTTTCTATTGTATTTCACAATGCTCTATAAATGTTAGAAATATCAGACCTTTTCTAGAACTCACAATCACCCTGTAGCTCAAAGCAGTGTTTGGTTTTGTGCTGAAATTGAATTTGAATATGAAAGAGAAGACTGAAGAAATATGGCATTTTGAGGGAAGACCTACTGTATATGTTACTAACAGGGTTACTGGTCATAGTAAATAACAACAGAGTTGCTGGTATTTGCTGCAGGCCTCCACCATCAAACTCAGGCTAATAGCATCAGCTCTTTGAACTGAAATTCAATTACAGACGTTTCTGCCGGCCACACCTCACCGTCACAACGGGATAATTCAGAGCCCCCCCAGCCATTTGAAATTCACTCTGCATCCTAACGTAATGCTTTTCTATTTGTAAATGATGAATCTTCTCTTTGAAATGCCTGTCTCGGTATCCCCGACGTCCAAAAAGTTTGCGACGGCAAAAGTGAAGTGCGTAAACTACCTGCTTTGCCTGCGAGCGTGCAATCTTCAAAAGAGCAATCACTTGCGCTTTTTTGTTCCAAATTGGTGGAACGATGTGTGTCGGTTTGCTTTTGTTCTTGTTGAATAGCAAGAGGGGCAATTCTTTTTCATTTCCTCGCATGTTTTGACCTATTAAGTTTTGAAGGGCAGTGGCGAAAAACATTTTTGAATATTTGAATATTTATTGTTTTTCTTTGTTTTTTTTTTCCCTCACTTGATCACATAATTGCTTTTTGAATCTCTGAACCGTATAATGGAAATGTCAAGAATAAAAGTATAGATCATGACACCTATACCTGATGAAAATGAGTTTATGATTTCCTCAGCGGGGTCATTTCGAGCCGCTCTCAGGACTGTAGGATTGCTTATTAATTACGCGGCCATGAATAAATAAATATGTAAGAACGTCAGTTTTCCAGTTGAGGTTTATTACCTATATGATAAGTCATGTAATAGAATAGGTATTCTGCGAACCGTATAATGAAAATGTCAAAAATAACAGAATAGATAATGGCATCTAGATGAGTTATGATTTCATATTTATAATTACATTAGTAGTGGCAGTAAAGCTGATTAATTACTCTAGAACAAATAGATGGATGTGTAAACATGTCATGTTTCCAGATAAGGTGCTTTGAGAAAATATCGAAAATATCGGTAAACATTTTGAATTGGATGATTAGGGTAAAATGTACTTATTTTGTCTTCTGGGAAACATGTAAGTATTTACGTAGCTTCTGGAGTCCAGTACTAAATGAAAAGATATGATTGTTAAACAAAATGAGAAGAATTTACACATCATCATCCTGTTCAAAAGTTTACATCCCCAGGCTCTTAATGCATTGTGTTGCCTTCTTGAGCATCAGTAAATGTTTCTACCTTTGTAATAGCTGTGTATGAGTCCCTCAATTGCCCTCAGTGTGAAAAGATGGATCTCAAAATCATACAGTCACTTTTGGAAAGGGTTCAAATATGCAGAAGATGCTGGAAAACTGAATATTGTGCAGGAGCTGGGGGATTTTTCTGAAGAACAGCAGGCAGTTAAACTGCGCAGGACCAACGCAGGACTCATGAACAACTATCACAAAATATAAAAACAGTTGTGGATCATCCAGGAAACGACACACAGTATTAAGTAAACTTTTGAACAGGTTCATTATTATAAATTCAGTTATTATTTTGTCGTGTGGAGTATATGTAAACATCTGTTATGTGAAATAGCTTATTCAGGACAGTACTAAATAAAAAAATAACATGCAATTTTCATGAGCCTTCTTATTTTGTTTCAATTATTAACATTTTGCTCATTCTGCAAGGGGTATGTAAACTTATGAGCACAACTGTATATTTTCTTTCTCTTTGTATTTTTATATCAGTATGGTACACGATTATCCTTTTTAAATCAATGTGATAAACAAGTTAGGTCAAAAGTAATCTAAAAGTAATCCAAAAATAGTGATTATATTACCTAAAATGTGTAATGTAATGGATTACTTTACTAACTACAATTTTTGTCATGTAATTTGGAATCAGTAATGGATTACAATTTATAAGTAGTTCACTCGTTAGTTTCTCAAAATTATATAGGAATCCATATTTCTTTACTCAAAATTTATCTGAATACATGTAACCCTCTGGTTTGAACATGCACCAGCTTTTAAGTGGTATTTTGGCTGTCTTGTCCCTTCAAGAAGGTTTAATTCTTGGCTCTGTCCCTGTTTTTATTCAGCTCGAGTTTTAAGGTCATACGGTTTTATCCATTCTAGTCTCTAGAAAGGAATTTCCTGTCTGCAGAGGACATGGACTGATTCCCTGTGTGTGTGTGTGTGTGTGTGTGTGAAGTTGTGTAAGGATCTGAGGTAAATAGGCCTGTTCTTGGAGTTAACTTCTCTTGCCTGTGACGGTGTTAAATAGTACTTTGCCCATGGTGTCAGAGCCAAAAGCAGAAAATCCTTAATCACAGCTTAATTAAGGAATCATCTTGTAGCTTAATTTCTTTCCCAACACTGTAATTAAACATTTCCAATAAGTTTCGTCACAGGGCTTAACACAGGCAGCGGGTCTGTGATCAAGGTGGGTCCAGGGACTTGCTCTCTGTCTCTTTTCCATTCTCTCCAAAGAAACGAGCATAAAATCCCACAGCAGACACTTGAAAGAATCCAAAATGAGAAACCGCACATTGGAATAAGGGTTTTAAATGAAAAGAAAATGAACAGATGCTGCCACTGCGACTGGCACGGTTCGGTTTACTGACTGTGCTACAGTTTAGCCGTTTGTACCGCAAAACCCTTAAGCTTTGATGTCTTTATACAGGTGAAATGGGTGGAAGTTTAAAGGTGGAGCAACAAGACAGTGACGGACAAGAAGAGAGAGTCCAACCAAGCCCGTTGACAACAGAGGAATGGGACGGCCCAAGTAAGACAGCCGTCCAATCACATCTCAACAGTCTTAGCATATCTTACATTGGTAACACTTTATTTCGATAGTCCACTTCAGACATTATACTAACTATAAGTAACTTTACAACTACATAGCAGTCATTAGAGTATTAATATACTGTCTGCTTAACAGTGTTGGGGAAAGATACATTTAAAAACAACAATATTGCCATAAAAAGTAACTAATTGCATTATTTAGTTACTTTTTATTGAAAGTAATGCATTACGTTACTTTTGCGTTACTTTTTGTCACCTGGGCTGGGCTTGCTTATTTGTTTTTTAATAACAAAAAACCCAAAAGTTATATTTTTGACAACTGTACGTTTCACTTGCACACTAAAAGAGAAATTAATAAGTTTCAGTCTGAAGAAAGTGCCTCTGCACTTATTCCAAATTTCTCACATCACGGGGACAGGAGAGATGTTAGCGAATAAATGGGAAAACAAAGTAACTTGCATTACTTATTTGAAAAAAAAAAAAGTCAGATATTTCATTGTAAATTTAAAAGTGATGTTTCTTTACTCGTTACTTAAGTAATCTGATTATGTAAACGTGCGTTATTTTTAATGCGTTACCCCCAACACAGCTGCTTAATATCTGCTAACACTTTATTTTGATGCTCCCCAACACATATTCAACTGACTGTACATAACTTTGCAAGTAGCCTACGTCAACTTATTCTACTAACTCTAACCTAACAGTCAACTAAAACTCTAATGAGAGTTAGTTGATATGTAGCTGCAAAATTACATATAGTATTATGTCAAAAATGGACTATCTAAATCAAGTGTAGCGTTAGTTCTGGCAGGTCATGTTGGTCAAGCTCGCATCAGCTGACTCTCAGCTGATCCCCATCTACCTATAGGAATACGACACCTATCTAAGCATTCATATATAAGGTCCCTCAGTAGTATCAGCAGTTTTCGCATTGCTCAATAACTAATTACCCTCCTCCATCCCAAGCTCCTCCTCTGTCAGTCAGGATTCAGCCTTCTGATTCTCCTTTGAATCAGACTAATTCTAAAATGTGTACAGAACCATACCGCCAATCCAAACTGTATGCTAATTGTCAATCATCTTTGACGATAGTTTTCCTGACAGAAATAAAGTTGTAATACAATGCAACATAGATAAATCCACAAAAAAACACAGCTTTTATATGCCACAACTGCACAGCGTAAGACAGAGTAAAGTGAGCCTGAAAGGTGCAGCTGGATGATGTACTGTAATAAGCCTTGTCCTCTTTAAAAGCATGACATCTGATAACGTAATAATGGCATTTTGGAAGGCGTTTATCTTGCGTTTCACACTAGATTTACACAATACAGTCACTAGTGCCAAACTGAGCTGACTTGTCTCCTATCTTTATATCTGATCACGGGTCTTGTAATCAGTTCTTGATGGTGAGATATCACAGCACACTGATATTCTCTATCTCTGGATTTCTCTTTCTCTCCCTCCAGTCGTCTGAATAAACACGATTAGTTCGGTTACAGACTCATTCGAACAATAATGAGGCACAGTGTTTTCTTATCAGATCAAGTGTTTTTGTCTTCTCTGAATGGTTCGAGTCTCACTATGCCAAGCCAATAGACACAGAATATCTGGAATTGGTGTTTTTTTTTGTGTCATATCTGGCATCTGACACCTATTTTGTGGATGCTTCACCTCATATGCCTCTAAAACAATCTGTGCATACTGTAAACTGCCATTCAAAAGTCTCTTATGCTCACCAAGGCTGCAAAAAACACAGTAAAAACATTATTACGGTTTAAAATAACTGTTTTCTATTTGAATCTATTGTAAAATGTAATTTATTCCTGTGATCAAAGCTGAATTTTCAGCATAATTTCTCCAGTCTTCAGTGTCACATGATCCTTCAGAAATCAGTATAATATGATGATTTGCTGCTCAAGAAATATGATTATTATCGATGTTGAAAACAGTTGTGCTGGTTCATATTTTAGTGAAAACTATAATAAAGTTCTTTGATGAATAGAAAGTTCAACATTTATTGGAAATAGAAATCTTTACTGTCACTTTTGATCAATTTAATGCATCACCGCTGAATAAAATTACTCCTTCAGAAATCAGTATAATATGATGATTTGCTGCTCAAGAAATATGATTATTATCGATGTTGAAAATATGCTGCTTCATATTTTAGTGAAAACTATAATAAAGTTCTTTGATGAATAGAAAGTTCAACATTTATTGGAAATAGAAATCTTTACTGTCACTTTTGATCAATTTAATGCATCACCGCTGAATAAAATTAGTTTCTTTAAACGTTTGAATGGTAGTGTATGTTTCAGGAGAAATAAAGTGTAATAACATTTGTTAATAACAGCGGTATCACTGTAAAAATGTGAAACAAAAAGTAGCGATGCAGTTTTTGTTTAATCATTGAAAAGAGGAGGCAGATATGCTAGCTGTTTGAATGCATTTCACTTTTAAATTTTTAGAGGAGAGAGTCTTGCTTGCTACAGTAGCACAATACCGTAATCTTATTTGCATATTAATTTACCCCAGTGCATCTTAATAGGAGACCATTACTGTAGTAACGCGTTTTCAACGCACATCGCACTCAATCTGTATTGCAAGCAAGTGCCGTGACACAACAAAACAAAGGGTGCTTGCACACTACTTGAGCGTTTCACGAGCAGGAATATGTTAGAATCATTTGAATGTAGTTATACAGCAATTTGTATTCCACAAGCACAGATAGACCTGCCTGATTGATTTTGAAATGCGGGTTGTTTTGTTGATTTTAGTGGGAGTGACGTAGTTTCATCGTGTCACACCACACTCTTTTTCTTTTATGTTTTGTGACCCTCATAACCTGCCGGATCCTTCACTGGTCCTTATTCCTGGACCTCATCATTTACGAATTAAAACATTGCCTGGAACGACTTCCAGCATCTCAAATTGAATTAGCATCTGCAGTTATATGAATATTGCAGCGGAAACGGCAATGATTGTCAAAAAAAGAGTGAGAGATGTTCGCGAGGAGCCTGATTCTGTCCGAGGCCCCTCAGAAGAAGGCAGGATGGAGTGAGGGATTTTAATGAAAGTGTAGTGGATTAGAGAAATCCCTGGAACAATATGAAATCATTACAGCCACAGTCGACATCAAAGTCTCACTGATTGAGCCCCCTAAAGCCTTTTCACACAGGGAGCGGGAACGCAGCGGAGAACATGCAAACCAGAGCCGAGAGCGGCTGACCACTGCGCTCGCATCCAACCGAGAGAGAGAGACGGATTCCAGACTTCTGACATTTAGACAGAGCATCATGGGAAATTAACTGAATTCATTATCCCAGTGGCCTCCTTGTTTTCAGATCGGTTAGGCAGATATTCTCAACCCTGAGTTCAGTACGAAACAAACTGTATGTTTTATAAGCATACGTGGCAGCTTTTGTCATCCCTCAAACAAGCATAAATCACAGTAATGCACTTACAATGAAGACATTTCACCTGATAAACATTCAAATACACACTGTTTGAAGTACAGCCACAGACGTCAACATTATACATGTTTGCATGAGACTAGAGGGATAAAATGACTTACTTACCTTGTCTGTGTAAAGATAGACTCAGTTTTTCAGCTCCTGTCGTGAACACTCAATACGTTTTTCAGTTTACTCGCCATAGCAATAACAGTAAAGTATGCATAACCAACTAACCCTAAACTAAACCCCAACCCTATATTAAGGACATGTTGTTAATTAATATTACCCGGTACTTAAATACACACTGTAACAAAGGCACCACAAAAGAAAGCAACCTGAATTTCTAATAAAAAATATTGAGCTAAAAAAAACAAACAAATAAAATAAGATAAAATAAAAAAGAAATGTGCAAGAATTGTTCACAATAAGAAGATGCATTTAGAAAATAGTTGTCTAAATCATTATTTTGGCATTGTGTTACTGTTCAAATTTCTTCTGTGCTCCAAAAAAAAAAAAAATGTTGGTTTAGCTTAAAAAAAGTTTCATTGAAACTAAAAATGTGCTTTAATAGAAAGAAAATGATTTAGAAACTCAACATATTATTTTACCTTAATCGTCAACATTAATTATTAAAGTAGCGATGCAGTTTTTGTTTAATCATTGAAAAGAGGAGGCAGATATGCTAGCTGTTTGAATGCATTTCACTTTTAAATTCATAGAGGAGAGAGTCTTGCTTGCTACAGTAGCACAATACCGTAATCTTATTTGCATATTAATTTACCCCAGTGCATCTTAATAGGAGACCATTACTGTAGTAACGCGTTTTCAACGCACATCGCACTCAATCTGTATTGCAAGCAAGTGCCGTGACACAACAAAACAAAGGGTGCTTGCACACTACTTGAGCGTTTCACGAGCAGGAATATGTTAGAATCATTTGAATGTAGTTATACAGCAATTTGTATTCCACAAGCACAGATAGACCTGCCTGATTGATTTTGAAATGCGGGTTGTTTTGTTGATTTTAGTGGGAGTGACGTAGTTTCATCGTGTCACACCACACTCTTTTTCTTTTATGTTTTGTGACCCTCATAACCTGCCGGATCCTTCACTGGTCCTTATTCCTGGACCTCATCATTTACGAATTAAAACATTGCCTGGAACGACTTCCAGCATCTCAAATTGAATTAGCATCTGCAGTTATATGAATATTGCAGCGGAAACGGCAATGATTGTCAAAAAAAGAGTGAGAGATGTTCGCGAGGAGCCTGATTCTGTCCGAGGCCCCTCAGAAGAAGGCAGGATGGAGTGAGGGATTTTAATGAAAGTGTAGTGGATTAGAGAAATCCCTGGAACAATATGAAATCATTACAGCCACAGTCGACATCAAAGAAATCTTTACTGTCACTTTTGATCAATTTAATGCATCACCGCTGAATAAAATTAGTTTCTTTAAACGTTTGAATGGTAGTGTATGTTTCAGGAGAAATAAAGTGTAATAACATTTGTTAATAACAGCGGTATC